GGTCACGCCTTCAGAATTAGCCAAATGTTCCTTGTGGTGGAATGGTCCTGACTGGCTAACAGATGATTTCAGTAGGTGGTCAAAGATGAAAGTCCAGGACAGACCTAGTGAAATGCCAGAGATGAGAAACTCGAAAAGGAAAGAAGACACGAATGTCTATGCAACCCTTATGACGTTTAATCTTCAGAAAGGAACCGCACCGAAACAGAGCAACACGTTAAAAGAGTGGAGACTAGATCCGAAACGGTTTTCCAGTTGGACACGTTTGGTTCGAGTACACGCGAGTGTGAGAAGAGTACTACAAAATATGCGCAACAGAGACAATAGGAATGAAAGTATGAAACTGTTGCCCGATGAATTAAAGGATGCTGAAGGAGAAATAGTGCGCCTGGCACAACGCAACCCTTAAAGTTCGCAGGTTTTCTTCCATATGATACCAGATTTCCAATCATTGTACCTCGTGGACAGTGGGTGACGAAACTTATTGTGAAGCACTATCACAAGAGAGGAAATCTTGTTGCTGGAGTAAACTTCACTCTTTGCCAGTTGAGTGAGAGATTTTGGATTATCGCCGCACGCGAGGAGATTCGCGAATGGGATCATGAATGTAACGAGTGTATGAGAAGACGAAACAAGCCAGCTTGTCAGATTATGGCCCCACTCCCGCAAATGAGGCACCGTTTCAGCTTCAGACCCTTCGCCCAAACAGCCGTAGGTTTTGCAGGTCCTTTCTATACTGTTCAAGGACGCGGAAAACCACGACAGTAAAGGTGGTTGTGCCTTTTTACTTGCTTGGAAACACGAGCAGTGCATTTAGAGATGGCCTGGGGACTGGATAACGGCACGTTCTTAGATGCCTTCGCCCGTTTTACCACTCGTCGTGGAGTTCATAAAGACGTGACAAGCGACAGAGGCAAAAATTTCATGGGCACAGAGGGTGAGTTAAAGAAACTAGTCCGCCAGTTAGACCGAAAACATCTTCAGAACAAGACAGTCGAACTTGGAGTGACATGGAGATTCAATCCACCGGCTGCCCCACATTTTGGAGGAGCCCATGAAATAATGGTGAAAGCTACTAAGAAATCCACGCACGCCGTTGTTGGAGAACGGGACGTGAACGACGAGGAGTTAATCACAGTGTTCGCAGGGGTGGATTCCCTTCTTAATTCCCGTCCGTTGACTTATCAGAGTTCAGATCCACGAGACGATGTCCCATTGACACCTAACCATTTCTTGCAAGGCCAAATGGGAGGACAGTTCGCTCCTGAGGCCGTTTAAACCACTACTTTGCATCAGCGTCAACGATGGCGAAAGGTTCAAGACATTATTTCACGTGTGGAGGAGATGGCTCAAGGAAGTTATTCCAGCCCTTAACAGTCGACCAAAGTGGACTTCAGAGTGCCGAGACCTAAAAGTTGAGGATGTAGTTCTTGTAAATCAGCCCGATACCCCAAGAGGACGTTGGCCATTAGGATGGATTGTTGAAGTGTATTCTGGACGAGATGGCCACACCCGTGTAGCTAAAGTTGCGTGTGGTGTCAAGACTGTCATGAGACCGATTAACAAACTGGTTCCGCTTGGAATTAACTGTTAATTGTTTAGTTGGAAACGCACTAGGACTACCTCCCAGTGTGGGGAGGGGGAATGTTAAGAAGAAGTCAATGAACTTGTGCGCGTGCGACTCGCGTGTGCGTGCGACTCGCGAGCGCGTGCTTTGGGACTTCGTAGGTTAATAATATCGTAAGCAAATCACGCGGACCTTGTAATTTTGACGCGTGCGATTTTTTATAGGGAGTTGAAAAGTTTTTAGTTTATCGAGTAGCAGTTTTGTTTAATGGTCGTTGTCGTTTACCGTGAGTCTGACAGTTTACCGTGTTGGAATTAAAGCGTTTGTTTGGATTTCCCGTTTCGCTTCCGAACAGTGGTATCTGTTCTAAACCGGTTAAGAAAAATCAAGCCGGAATCCAGTGCGAACAATGTAATATGTGGATCCATGTAAATACGATCGAAGTGTTGTGAAATATCGCCTACTATTTTCAGCATCCTGGCAAACCGCCCACGTACGTGGATTTGCTCATAGTGCAATCTTCCGAACATGTCAATCTCATTCTTCCACAGTTCAGTGGGCTCATTTAACTCACCGAATTGCTTTGAACCGCTAAACAAATCGGGAAATGGTTTTATAACATACCTCGTTGTCAACTGCCGAAGCGTAAAGAACAAAATAACGGACATCGCTGTTGAGATAAACGATCAGCAAACTGATATTATCCTCGACTATGAATCCTGGTCGAAACCTGACATTAACAGCAGTGAAACCTTTCCTGAGAATCATAAGACCTACAGAAAACGCAGGGATAACAATAAGCGAGATGGTGGAGTTTTCCAGGCCGTAAAGAATCATCCCATAGTGACTAGTCAGTTCGTTAAAGAATCGACTAGGCTCAAGGTAACACACATAACACCCTCGAAATTTTGTTATCGAACAATAACGACATCATTAGCAGAGTCAAAGTCATTGATGGCATAACTTATCATGATATTGTGTCATCTACTGTAAAAATATCATGTCCACGAAACGAAATGTGAAACGCAAAGTTTACATCGATACTGAAAAGGGCTGACTGATCGTATAAAGGTAATTTTGTAATATCAACTAAGTTGAAATTATAAATTGGCCACCGTAAAGGGTTAAAAACTGACGTTTTGCTCTGACGAAGGGCTAACGCTCGAAACGTCAGCTTTTTAACTCATTACGGTAGCCAATTTACAATTTCAACTTAGTTGATTTTACCAAATTAACTTGTTACCCCCACCGACACAGCACCACAGTTTCTTTTGATAGTATAAAACACGAGCAACACGTTTTAACTGCAACTCAGGAACTTAATTCAAGCGACGTATCAGTTTGAAAGAAATGTTAGCCATATAATGGACACTTGTAGACCTCAAAAATATGACCAGCTCGAGGCATAATCTGCTTTGGCTTAACCTATCACTTTGAAGGCAGACAAGACCTAAACAACAGCGTTATAACAAAGCAAAGAATTCAGGAAATCCCGCACAATGAAATGAATTCCGTGCTGCCAGAAAACGCGTACAAAAGAATTTGAAGTCTGCAAGGGAAAAGCACATCTCATATCTAGATCTAGATTTCCTCGGAGATGCGATTGAGGAAAACCCAAAACTCTTTTGATCATACATTAATAAAGCAATTAAAGAATGATGATCCCGGTGTAGCTGACTTCGAAGTCGATGGAAGAATTATATGCGACTGAAATCTGAAATCGGAACTTTTGAGCGATCAGTTCTCCAGTGTGTTTACGAATGAAGGTCCCACTAACATTCCCGTCTTCGGTACAAATCCGAAACCAAGCATTAGTACTATCATTGTTACGAGCCAACGTGTTATTAAGCAGCTAATACCTTTGAAGCCAAACAAAGCTAGTGGCCATGGTGAGATACCTCCGTGGTTCTTCAAGGCATATGCAGCGGAGATCGTTCCTATTTCAGCAGATATTTACGAAAACTCCATCGCTACCGGGTGTGTACCATCGAAATGGAAACATACTAATGTTTGTGTTGTGTACACGAATGGGGGAAAGTCAGATCCCGCGAATTATAAACCCATCTCACTAACCTGCATCTCATCAAACGTCCTTGAACATATCATCCACATCCACGCGATGAAACACCCAGAACAACACGCAATTCTCACGGAAATGCAGCACGGCTTCAGAGCAAAGCGATCTACAGTCAGACAACTGATACTGACAATCCATGATTTGACCGAGACTATCCAAAAAATAGTTCTGTCCATGCTATAGTTTTGGACTTTAGTAAAGCCTTTGATAAGGCTCCCCACAAACGCCTCATCACCAAGCTACAGTACTATGGCATTCGTGGACCCCTGCTTAGTAGGTTTGAGACATTCAAAACAAACCGCTCCCAGACAGTGGTGTGTAATGGCAAGAGCTCCCGCCCTACCCAAGTAACATCTGGGGCACCCGCTTTGAATAATGCCGGATTTGAAATGGCGCAAGCTGCCTCATCTATTCCTGGTAAAGCAAGTAAGGTCATGGGAATGATGAAAAGGAACCTCTAGAACAGTCCCAAGGAAGTTAAAGAAATTGCTTACACGACCACAGGGCGCCCAAAGCTGGAATACGCTTGTGAGGCTCGGGACCATCATCTCCAAAAGGACATCTCTTCTCTTGAGAGGGTTCGAGGAAAGCTGCACGATTTTGTAGCAACAACCATCAGCCTACATCCAGTGTTAATGAAATACTTCAAGAGCTAAGGTGAACCACCTTAGATTTGAAAACAACAATTTCTCGGCTAATTCTTGGATATAAGATGAGTCGAGGGAAAATTAATATTGACACTAATGTTTCCCTGCGCCTTCTCACCAAACTTAGGACATGTGCGAGCCACAATTTTAGATACATTCAAGGAAAGTTACCAGGAACATTTATTTTTATTCTTTTTTCCCCAGAACTATAAGAAGTTGGAACACCCTTGAACATTTTACATCTGAGCTTTTAAATTATTAAGATAACAACAATAATTGGACCTTCTATTTCTTCACTTTACTTTCATATAGACAGTGTATGTAGTTGTAGACATTATTTTTAGCTGTAAATAGTTGGTGCGATATCTATACGATTTTACCGACTGAACATAAATGTAGATGTAGAAAGTCAAGCTTAAAACACAGAGAAAAATTAAAGTTTGGATCATTCACTGCGACTGCTACGTTGCTCAACTTTCCTGAAAAACGTTCTGCCGTATTCGTTTTTTATCTACAGACGATAAAAAAACTTGATGAATCAGTGCTTATGAGTAGGAGCTTTTCGGGAGTTTGATGTAATCCTCCAAAAGTATGTCATACTGTGATTATGCACCGATCAACTTGCAGCTTTGACATCCCCCTACCGGGCAACCCACGGGCATTTGATCTTCGCCCATGCCCAAGGCTTTGTTGCCATGTTTTAGCAGCTGCCTGGTTCATAGAAACAGTTTCATCAATTGTAGTCGTTACAAGGTGGAGAGACATCGAATTGCATTAATAATAAGCAGTTCCTTCGACCTTGGAAAGAATTTAATCTTAGAGTTAACGTACCGAGTGTCTTGCTCATAATATGCTATACTTGCAATGCTACTTAACTTTTCTATGTGAAAATTTTAATGAAGCACTAACCCGGGCTAATAATACATTTGCACATATATAGTATCAGACACCGATGTCCTTTGATTGAATCCTGTATCATATAGTTGCAGTTATACAATGTGGTTGACTAATGATTAAAATAACGCACCCTATCGGATTAGCGATCTCCTCTAAACATGATTAAAATGATTTGTTCTGATATGTATCCTACTTCGATTCGATTCAGTTTCAATACTGTTACAAGAATTAACGTAAAACCCTTGTTATAGCTATAGTAATAGCTTGTGGTCTTGCCAACTAGGCCCTTATTGATGGTACGAGGTTTTGGAAAAAAAAAGAATTTTCTTTTCCTTTTTTTTTCTATACAAGTAGGAATGTTAGAATAATCACCATAAAATTGTCTTCGCTTTTGGGTCATCGCTTTTGGGTCTTAGGTCATAGCTCTTAGCTTTCGGAGGTCTTCGTTTTCGCTATAAACCGACCATGAGATCAAATTCATCAAATTCATTTACAGTTGCTCATATTATAGAAGAAAAAAATCTTTGCATCATGCTATATTTATATGGCGAGTAAGTTATCAATAGAAAATACTGGCTACGTAGATAATAACATTTAGAATGCTACTCCGTCGTTGAGTTTTGAGCTCTGATTGAACTGACTGCATAAAGAAAGCCGGGTTTTTTGACATTGCTCCCTAATAGAAAATAGGGGGACTGATTTGCAATCTTCTTTGTACGGGTTACTTTGCAGTCCTATTTCATTGTAGTTATCTACTTATATGATCCCTTAGTTGATTGGAAACTACTGGTTGAGCAGCTTTGTCATTGTTATTACTAACCTGTCATCGACATCATTCATCACAGGTGGTTACATGGCAATCAGTTAAAAGAACTACCAACAAACATTTTTGGTGACTTGAGTCGGCTGGAAACCTTGTGAGTAGCACTCTCTGATGTCTTTGATAATGTAGTTGTAAACAAGATAGGTTAAATCAAGAGCAAGACCAAATCTAAATCCTCCCTTGATTGCAGAATTTAATTCATGTAAAAAATTCACTCAAGTTTGTTATATAATTATTTTTGATAATGATTTAGTTGGGATTTGGCTG